TTGATCGATAAATAATATGTTCCACTATGGGCCAGAATATCAGCGAAGATTATTTGACCTGCCATGGGATACGTATTCCTATAAGAAAACCCAAAGTACAGAATGGAGAAAGCGAGGACACTACAGTAATTCACAAGTTGTCAAACCACATGTGCTCCGTAATAATGCCACATATCACGGAGGATGAGTCGATCCCCCAATTCCCGCCGATCATACATTGTCACAATACTAGAATCAGCTTTTTCAACAATTTCCCACGTATCAGGCTACCACAAGCAACCTTCCCTTTAAACTTATGCATCGCGAGACCCGCGATGACATATTACCAACTTCTCAATGAGAAACAGCACTGAAACGGGGATAACTCAAATTGACACATTGATAGTAGCTAGTGATCAAAACTGTGTCTCTTAGTCACTTTTCTGGAAAGACAATCAACGAATACATGTTGATGCTGAATTGAATCTTCCTGGACAGTCCTGGATATAGAACAGCAGAGACGGAGTTGCTATATATTATGGGGTGGACGAGGCGTTATTGCGCTTCACGCGTCCCGCCCCAGCAAGTTTAACTATCGAACGTCCATCTGTATAGCCACCTAGCACAGAACCAAACCCAGCACGCCATTCAACAAGTGACGATGGCAAGCTGACCAGCGATCTGATTCCTCTGTTTTCAAAGCCACATACTTACCAGAGTCCCAACGCTCTATTCATTCAGAGGACTGGGAGTTAACTAGGCGTTTTGGGAAGAAAGCGTCTGACCAGATTTTTGAGTCATTGATCTGTATGTATGTATGTATGCATGTATGTATAAATTTAGCGTCCCAGAGAAGACGCGGGTAGCACCCGCGCTTCAGAGGCCCCCCGAAGGGCATGGAGACGTGCTACGCTGGAGAGATTTCTATATACACTAAAGGAGAGAAACAGGATCCAGATGGCAACTCTTGAGAAGACTCAGCTCATTCAGCTGTTCATCCACTTCTGGCCCGACGTATGGCCATTCATGGTGGAGTCATTGATCTGTGAGCACTGACATTGGCCATTTAGCTGCATGTAGTACCCCCGCAACTCTAGGCACAGGAAACTGCAGTCCTTCAAGTATCTCTTGATGTTTTTGACTTCTCTCGTATCTCTGCGTGGTGTTTGTTCTGGTGAACTTAGAGTAGCAAGGTACCTCTGTGTTCTTATCAACTGGTGCTTGAGCCCATGCGAGTACAAGGGCCACTTGTATATAAAAGACAAGCGACATGGAACCTCTAGGAAACCATCTTAAGTTTCATGTTGAAATATGTCATATTCTGCTGTCCTTCCACATGTTATAACCGCGCCTTCCTTGGTGTTCATTTAAAATTCTCGATTCCAAACCTCTTTCTGCGAA